TCAGTTTCGTTTTATTATTTCGAACGTTCGAAAAGATACGACTGAGCACTGCAAACGCAGCTGATAAACTGCATCAACTGTGGCAACATTCAAACCCAATGACTTCATTGGAAATATTGGCACGTTTTTAAATTGTGTGTGTTTTGTTTAGATTTTTTGTTTACATTTTATGGAGTTCGAATCTGTTGTGTGCTGTATATTCCAAACTGGAATTTCCAGTGTTTATAATGGAGAGTAAATTATTTTATTTACAGTTAGCGAGCTTTAACATGCGAGAGCATGCATGTGCTTTTTCTGAGAAATGTTAACGTTATGGAGATAACGAGTCATATTCGACTAGTTTGATATGGTATTTAAAATCATCGTCATGTAATTACATTTTATGTTAACTAAGTTAGAGTTATGTTAAATTGAAGTTTAAAATTGTAACTGTTAAATTTTTTTTAATTAAATAAAATCATTTTAAAACCAATCTATGATGCTAAATTATAAACATTTTAATTCATCTGATTTATTTATTGCTACCATGCTAGGCCGGTGCTTCAAACTTAACGCTACTTAAACGCGAATACCCTATATTTAAAATACAGTCTAATCTAGTCTGCAGTCTAGTCTATGGTCTAGTCTATAGTCTAGTCTATAGTCTAGTCTATAGTCTAGTCTATAGTCTAGTCTATAGTCTAGTCTATAGTCTAGTCTATAGTCTAGTCTATAGTCTAGTCTATAGTCTAGTCTATAGTCTAGTCTATAGTCTAGTCTGTAGTCTAGTCTATAGTCTAGTCTATAGTCTAGTCTATAGTCTAGTCTATAGTCTAGTCTAGTCTATAGTCTAGTCTATAGTCTAGTCTATAGTCTAGTCTATAGTCTAGTCTATAGTCTAGTCTAAGTCTAGTCTATAGTCTAGTCTATAGTCTAGTCTATAGTCTAGTCTATAGTCTAGTCTATAGTCTAGTCTATAGTCTAGTCTATAGTCTAGTCTATAGTCTAGTCTATAGTCTAGTCTATAGTCTAGTCTATAGTCTAGTCTATAGTCTGGTCTATAGTCTAGTCTATAGTCTAGTCTACAGTCTAGTCTATAGTCTAGTCTATAGTCTAGTCTATAGTCTAGTCTATAGTCTAGTCTATAGTCTAGTCTATAGTCTAGTCTATAGTCTAGTCTATAGTCTAGTCTATAGTCTAGTCTATAGTCTAGTCTATAGTCTAGTCTATAGTCTAGTCTATAGTCTAGTATAGTCTAGTCTATAGTCTAGTCTATAGTCTAGTCTATAGTCTAGTCTGTAGTCTAGTCTATAGTCTAGTCTATAGTCTAATCTATAGTCTAATCTATAGTCTAGTCTACAGTCTAGTCTATAGTCTAGTCTAGTGTATAGTCTAGTCGATAGTCTAGTCTATAGTCTTGTCTATAGTCCAGTCTATAGCCCTAGTCTATAGCCTAGTCTATAGCCTAGTCCATAGTCTAGTCTATAGCCTAGTCTATAGCCTAGTCTATAGTCTAGTCTATAGTCTAGTCGATAGTCTAGTCGATAGTCTAGTCGATAGTCTAGTCTATAGTCTAGTCCATAGTCTAGTCTATAGTCTAGTCTATAGTCTAGTCTATAGTCTAGTCTATAGTCTAGTCTATAGTCTAGTCTATAGTCTAGTCTTTAGTCTAGTCTACAGTCTAGTCTATAGTCTAGTCTATAGTCTAGTCGATAGTCGAGTCTATAGTCTAGTCTATAGTCTAGTCTATAGTCTAGTCGATAGTCTAGTGTATAGTCTAGTCTATAGTCTAGTCTGTAGTCTAGTCTATAGTCTAGTCTATAGTCTAGTCTATAGTCTAGTCTATAGTCTAGTCTATAGTCTAGTCGATAGTCGAGTCTATAGTCTAGTCGATAGTCTAGTCTATAGTCTAGTCTATAGTCTAGTCTATAGTCTAGTCTATAGTCTAGTCTATAGTCTAGTCTATAGTCTAGTCTGTAGTCTAGTCTATAGTCTAGTCTATAGTCTAGTCTATAGTCTAGTCTTTAGTCTAGTCTATAGTCTAGTCGATAGTCTATTCTATAGTCTAGTCTATAGTCTAGTCGATAGTCTAGTGTATAGTCTAGTCTATAGTCTAGTCTGTAGTCTAGTCTATAGTCTAGTCGATAGTCTAGTGTATAGTCTAGTCTATAGTCTAGTCTGTAGTCTAGTCGATGGTATAGTATATAGTCTAGTCTATAGGCTAGTCTGTAGTCTAGTCTATAGTCTAGTCTATAGTCTAGTCTATAGTCTAGTCTATAGTCTAGTCTATAGTCTAGTCTTTAGTCTAGTCTATAGTCTAGTCGATAGTCTAGTCTATAGTCTAGTCTATAGTCTAGTCTATAGTCTAGTCTATAGTCTAGTCTATAGTCTAGTCTATAGTCTAGTCGATAGTCTAGTCTATAGTCTAGTCTATAGTCTAGTCGATAATCTAGTCTATAGTCTAGTCTATAGTCTAGTCTATAGTCTAGTCGATAGTCTAGTGTATAGTCTAGTCTATAGTCTAGTCTGTAGTCTAGTCTATAGTCTAGTCTATAGTCTAGTCTATAGTCTAGTCTATAGTCTAGTCTATAGTCTAGTCTATAGTCTAGTCTATAGTCTAGTCTATAGTCTAGTCTATAGTCTAGTCTATAGTCTAGTCTATAGTCTAGTCTATAGTCTAGTCTATAGTCTAGTCTATAGTCTAGTCTATAGTCTAGTCTGTAGTCTAGTCTATAGTCTAGTCTATAGTCTAATCTATAGTCTAATCTATAGTCTAGTCTACAGTCTAGTCTATAGTCTAGTCTAGTGTATAGTCTAGTCGATAGTCTAGTCTATAGTCTTGTCTATAGTCCAGTCTATAGCCTAGTCTATAGCCTAGTCTATAGCCTAGTCCATAGTCTAGTCTATAGCCTAGTCTATAGCCTAGTCTATAGTCTAGTCTATAGTCTAGTCGATAGTCTAGTCGATAGTCTAGTCGATAGTCTAGTCTATAGTCTAGTCCATAGTCTAGTCTATAGTCTAGTCTATAGTCTAGTCTATAGTCTAGTCTATAGTCTAGTCTATAGTCTAGTCTATAGTCTAGTCTTTAGTCTAGTCTACAGTCTAGTCTATAGTCTAGTCTATAGTCTAGTCGATAGTCGAGTCTATAGTCTAGTCTATAGTCTAGTCTATAGTCTAGTCGATAGTCTAGTGTATAGTCTAGTCTATAGTCTAGTCTGTAAGTCTAGTCTATAGTCTAGTCTATAGTCTAGTCTATAGTCTAGTCTATAGTCTAGTCTATAGTCTAGTCGATAGTCGAGTCTATAGTCTAGTCGATAGTCTAGTCTATAGTCTAGTCTATAGTCTAGTCTATAGTCTAGTCTATAGTCTAGTCTATAGTCTAGTCTATAGTCTAGTCTATAGTCTAGTCGATAGTCGAGTCCTATAGTCTAGTCTATAGTCTAGTCGATAGTCGAGTCTATAGTCTAGTCTATAGTCTAGTCTATAGTCTAGTCGATAGTCTAGTCTATAGTCTAGTCTATAGTCTAGTCTGTAGTCTAGTCTATAGTCTAGTCTATAGTCTAGTCTATAGTCTAGTCTTTAGTCTAGTCTATAGTCTAGTCGATAGTCTATTCTATAGTCTAGTCTATAGTCTAGTCGATAGTCTAGTGTATAGTCTAGTCTATAGTCTAGTCTGTAGTCTAGTCTATAGTCTAGTCGATAGTCTAGTGTATAGTCTAGTCTATAGTCTAGTCTGTAGTCTAGTCGATGGTATAGTATATAGTCTAGTCTATAGGCTAGTCTGTAGTCTAGTCTATAGTCTAGTCTATAGTCTAGTCTATAGTCTAGTCTATAGTCTAGTCTATAGTCTAGTCTTTAGTCTAGTCTATAGTCTAGTCGATAGTCTAGTCTATAGTCTAGTCTATAGTCTAGTCTATAGTCTAGTCTATAGTCTAGTCTATAGTCTAGTCTATAGTCTAGTCGATAGTCTAGTCTATAGTCTAGTCTATAGTCTAGTCGATAATCTAGTCTATAGTCTAGTCTATAGTCTAGTCTATAGTCTAGTCGATAGTCTAGTGTATAGTCTAGTCTATAGTCTAGTCTGTAGTCTAGTCTATAGTCTAGTCTATAGTCTAGTCTATAGTCTAGTCTATAGTCTAGTCTATAGTCTAGTCTATAGTCTAGTCTATAGTCTAGTCTATAGTCTAGTGTATAGTCTAGTCTATAGTCTAGTCTTTAGTCTAGTCTATAGTCTAGTCGATAGTCTAGTCTATAGTCTAGTCTATAGTCTAGTCGATAATCTAGTCTATAGTCTAGTCTATAGTCTAGTCGATAGTCTAGTGTATAGTCTAGTCTATAGTCTAGTCTGTTGTCCTAGTCTATAGTCTAGTCTATAGTCTAGGCGATAGTCTAGTCTATAGACTAGTCTATAATCTAGGCGATAGTCTATCTATAGTCTAGTCTATAGTCTAGTCTATAGTCTAGTCTATAGTCTAGTCTATAGTCTAGTATATAGTCTAGTCTATAGTCTAGTCTATAGTCTAGTCTATAGTCTAGTCAATAGACTATTCTATAGTCTAGTCTATAGACTAGTCTATAGTCTAGTCTATAGACTAGACTATAGTCTTTATTTATAGTCTGGTCTATAGTCTAGTCTATAGTCTAGTCTATAGTCTAGTCTATAGAGTAGTCTATAGTCTAGTCTATAGTCTATTCTGGACTACTTTCGGTACCCTAGTCTGTAATTGAGATTCAATGTTCTTAATTTCGGAGTTCAGTTATCCAAATTTTATAACCAAACTAAAAATCTTAAAGATTCCAAAAAAATGTGAAGCTTTCTTCATCTTGTTGATCTTCACATCTGCCATTCAACTTGCAAAAAATAAACATTACGAAATGACTTCATAACCGAAACATGTTTTTCAAAAAGTCATTTAAATACTTAATACACATATTGGACATTTTGCTCATTTAGTTAATGGTTTGTAGCTCCAGAAAAAACTAAAAAGCTTTACAAATTCTTTGTACAACAATCAACTCACCTCACCGACACGATGACGTTCCTTAGCATGACAGCGATCTCTGTAAATTTACATAGGAATTGCCGTTCAAATGTTGTCAAACAACCGTGATAGATCTTCACGAGAACGTCACGTGCCTCACGTATTAAAACTGCACGTGTTGTTTGAGTAAAGACGGGATAAATGCATGCAAGATGCCTGTCAATCAGAGCAGCAATATGAGACTCCTGGAAGACAAGAGGAATGACGATGTTGATCGTTAAAGGAGAAGGAAAAACAAATTGTAACAGGGCAGATTTTGAGGTCTTAAGACAACAAAGTTAAAGTATTATTAGAAAAAAAAAAAATAGAAACAAGTTTAATAGTTTTATACAAGTACGTACCATTTGTTTAGAATCTACTAATTGTTCTACATGTTTTTCATCATCATCCATATTTATCGTGGTCATGCTCTTGTTGTTTTTGTTGTTGGGGCCATTGACTTTAAATGTTTCTTTTCCTGTCGTGTTTCAATTTGAACAGAATTTCCACAACATTTATGTTTGTTGAAGTATTACGACTGCGAGCTTGTTTTGTAATTTTCTTTGTTGTTCCTGCTGCTGTTTAGTTAATGCAGAACCTAGACCAAAATCAATATCTTCATACGATTCATCAACAACGTCATCATCATCGTCGTCGTCATCGTCGTCGTCATCGTCAACATTATTTTCGTCTTCCATTTTCATCACATTCCCAAGGGCACAATTAGTGGAACTACCTTTGTTGACGGACTCACTAGCACCACCCAATGAAGACAATCTATTGTTTGGAAAATCCGTTACTTTAGCTGATGTTGTTTCTGTTTTGGCCCCAAGTCTTGACTGACATCTAGCTCATTTATTGTAGACATTGTTGATTTTGGATCATGACCTGTATTATTGTGATATTCTTGCATTTGATTATGCCAAACAACTGCCAACCAGCGATCTTTACATTTTTTCAAATAATTACTGTACACGCGATGATTTACTACCACCGCCAACACTACGACGCACCGCCATTTCATTGATCACTTGGTAGTGTTGCTCATACTCTTCTCCTACAGATTTGGTATCATTTCGTTGTTGCGCTTATGTTGCTCCTCAAACGTTGTTTCTTCGATTTCTTCTTCGGCCATCTTCTTCACGTGCAATTGGTGCTGTTTGATTAGTTGGTATTGTTGTCGTTGGTTTTGTTGTTGACATGACTTCATTGTTGTTATGAATTGTTGCTAAATTTTTAGAATTATTTACAGATACAGATATGCTTGTCGTAGGTGTATGATTGACTACTAATATTTCGTTTAAATCTCGTAGATTTTCTTCGTTTTCGTTGTATGTTTTCGATACTTTGGCTGGGGTATGTTCTACGTTTGTTGGAGGATTGGTGTTATTCTGTAAAGGTATAGAAAGTAGTTAGTTATTAAAAACTATTATGCTATGTTGTAATAAGTGATGAAATAAATAAGTAGAACTGAACTGAACTGAACTAGAACTGAACTAGAACTGAACTAGAACTGAACTAGAACTGAACAAGAACTGAACTAGAACTGAACTAGAACTGAACTAGAACTGAACTAGAACTGAACTAGAACTGAACTAGAACTGAACTAGAACTGAACTAGAACTGAACTAGAACTGAACTAGAACTGAACTAGAACTGAACTAGAACTGAACTAGAACTGAACTAGAACTGAACTAGAACTGAACTAGAACTGAACTAGAACTGAACTAGAACTGAACTAGAACTGAACTAGAACTGAACTAGAACTGAACTAGAACTGAACTGAACTAGAACTGAACTAGAACTGAACTAGAACTAGAACTGAACTAGAACTGAACTAGAACTGAACTAGAACTGAACTAGAACTGAACTAGAACTGAACTAGAACTGAACTAGAACTGAACTAGAACTGAACTAGAACTGAACTAGAACTGAACTAGAACTGAACTAGAACTGAACTAGAACTGAACTAGAACTGAACTAGAACTGAACTAGAACTGAACTAGAACTGAACTAGAACTGAACTAGAACTGAACTAGAACTGAACTAGAACTAGAACTGAACTAGAACTGAACTAGAACTGAACTAGAACTGAACTAGAACTGAACTAGAACTGAACTAGAACTGAACTAGAACTGAACTAGAACTAGAACTGAACTAGAAATGAACTAGAACTGAACTAGAACTGAACTAGAACTGAACTAGAACTGAACTAGAACTGAACTAGAACTGAACTAGAACTGAACTAGAACTGAACTAGAACTGAACTAGAACTGAACTAGAAATGAACTAGAACTGAACTTGAACTGAACTTGAACTGAACTAGAACTGAACTAGAACTGAACTAGAACTGAACTAGAACTGAACTAGAACTGAACGAGAACTGAACTAGAACTGAACTAGAACTGAACTAGAACTGAACTAGAACTGAACTAGAACTGAACTAGAACTGAACTAGAACTGAACTAGAACTGAACTAGAACTGAACTAGAACTGAACTAGAACTGAACTAGAACTGAACTAGAACTGAACTAGAACTGAACTAGAACTGAACTAGAACTGAACTAGAACTGAACTAGAACTGAACTAGAACTGAACTAGAACTGAACTAGAACTGAACTAGAACTGAACTAGAACTGAACTAGAACTGAACTAGAACTGAACTAGAACTGAACTAGAACTGAACTAGAACTGAACTAGAACTGAACTGAACTAGAACTGAACTGGAACTGAACTAGAACTGAACTAGAACTGAACTAGAACTGAACTAGAACTGAACTAGAACTGAACTAGAACTGAACTAGAACTGAACTAGAACTGAACTAGAACTGAACTAGAACTGAACTAGAACTGAACTAGAACTGAACTAGAACTGAACTAGAACTGAACTAGAACTGAACTAGAACTGAACTAGAACTGAACTAGAACTGAACTAGAACTGAACTAGAACTGAACTAGAACTGAACTAGAACTGAACTAGAACTGAACTAGAACTGAACTAGAACTGAACTAGAACTGAACTAGAACTGAACTAGAACTGAACTAGAACTGAACTAGAACTAAACTAGAACTGAATTAGAACTGAACTAGAACTGAACTAGAACTGAACTAGAACTGAACTAGAACTGAACTAGAACTGAACTAGAACTGAACTAGAACTTTACTAGAACTGAACTAGAACTGAACTTGAACTGAACTAGAACTGTATTCGAACTGAACTAGAACTGAACTACAACTGAATTGGCGTAACGAAATGCTAGAATCGTTCATATGTTTCGCAATGAAATTCACTGTTTTAAATATTCTAATTATACCCTACACCACTTTAGTGGGGAGGGTATATTGGATTTGTGCTGATGTTTGTAACATATAAAAATATTCGTCCTAGACCCACCTTAAAGTATACCAATCGGCTTAGAATCGTTTTCTGAGTCGATTAAGCTATGTCCGTCCGTCCGTCTGGCTGGCTGGCTGGCTGGCTGGCTGGCTGGCTGTCCATGTAAACCTTGTGCGCAAGGTACAGGTCGCAATTTTCAAGATAATTGGATGAAATTTGGCACGCACGTTTTATTTGGCCCAAGGACGAAGCCTATTGAAAATGGTTAAAATCGGTCCATTATTTCACCTAGCCCCCATAGAACAGAACCACCCGAAAAGGGCTTCTGAGCTCATAATTATGTTAAATATACAGATATATCGATAAAATACGGCACAACTAAGTTTTATGGAAGTCTTGATAACCCTTCCAAATTTCATAAAGATCGGCCCCCATTTGACCCTAGCTCCCATACAAAGTCCCCTTCAGAAAATTACTTCAATGTCCCAAATTAACTTATAAACACAAATATCGCGATGAAATTCAGCACAATAAAATATTATGTAAATATAAATATATTCACAAAATTTTATCGGGCTTGGTCCATATTTGCCCCTAGCCCCCATATAAAGCCTCTTTCAGAAAATTAGTTTTTCATCCA